GGGCTCTCCGTTCACTGCAGAGTCTGCTTGGGATTCTTTCTCCCTCCCTATGCCCCTCCCCCTGCTTGCATGCTCTTTCTCTAAATAAATAAATAAATAAATAAATAAATAAAACCATTTTTTAAAAAAAAGGAAAATAAAAGTGAGAAGGTGCAGTTATTTCTCTTCTCCAGTTTTTTTTTAATATTACTTTAGGAAGAGTGTGTGTGTGCGCGCGTGCACGTGTGTGCGCAAGTGGGGGGGAGGTGGCAGAGGGAGAGAGATAATCCTGAAGAAGACTCTCCACTGACCGCAGGGTCTGACACCGGGCTCAGTCTCAGGACCCCAAGATCATGACCTGAGCTAAAATGAGGAGTCATCCACTCAACCAGCGAAGCCACCCAGTGGTTTAAAAAAAAAAAAGGAACGCCCTTAAGAAATGTACCACCTGAGCTATCCTCAGTGACATACTGAAACCCCCTGTTGTTAAACTGGCCAGTACACTCCCAAATTCTGTTGGGGAAACCTAGAGTCCTTGTCTCCTCCCTGCCCCTTATATTTCCTACCCATCCCTCCACTGCTACTCAGAGTTGCATTAGCATAGGTTCCATAAGTAGAGTTCAGAATTAGAACTCTATGTGACATTAAAATGTCACTTTAAGATTTATGGTATTATTGGGGTGCCTGGGTGGTTCAGTCACGACATTAAGCATCCAACTCTTGATTTTGGCTCAGGTCATAATCTCAGGGTCCTGGGATCAAGCCCTGCATCAGGCTGTGCACTCAGTGGGGAGTATGCTTGAGATTCTCTCTCCCTCTCCCTCTCTCAAATCTTTTAGATTTATGGTATTATCATTACTATAATTCTGTGGAAATTGAATGGGATTTTGGTTATTCAAGGGTCATAGCCAGTTTTCAGAACATCATTTCCTTGGGAACATGCATTTTGAATTCTAAGTGACTTAAGGTTTATAATATGATCTCTTTATTTTGGCTGATTATGCCTTAAAACCTCCATTAAACACAATGGACTAAAATCTTAGGATGAAATATTTTATATTACAGCTTCCTGAATATTAATTAGAAGGGTTGAGTATTTATTTTTGCTTTTTATTATAGTAAATATAATTTCTCTGATTAAAAATCTTACTCTTTAGGTCTTAATTATGAAGACCACTTTTCTTTATATACAGAGGTTATTTTGAAAAATAAATTACATTTTGGCCTGTTTGTCTCTGTCTTGAGTTTGGTCTATTAAGAAAGAAAATATTCTGTCCAGTTGTACTTTTACTCTGCTATAGTTTTGTAAACTGATTATTCTTATGATACTCAATTCTGTATTTATCCAGTTTTTGCCATTTTCTTTTCATATCCATGTTTCTCTTTTCCAGTTGCTTCTGAAATCAGAAAGTCAGTGCAGAGTTGTAGTATTGATGGGCTCAACTTCTGATCTCAGTCACTGTGAAAAAATCAAGAAGGCTTGTGGAAATTTTGGCATTCCATGTGAACTTCGGGTAACATCTGCCCATAAAGGACCAGATGAAACTCTGAGGATTAAAGCAGAGTATGAAGGTAAATGTCACATAACTAGAGCATTTCAGGAAATTCTCCTGATTTTGCCAAAAAATTTTATGTTTGGACTAATAATGCTGAAAAAGAATTTGCCACATTTCCAAGGGGGAAAATGTGACAATCTAGGCTTTCATTATACTCCCAAAGAGTATGAGATGCTCTAGGCACTTATAAAAGAATGGCTCGGGGGAAAAAGAATTGAAAATGCAACATGAGTACACTTGAAAATAATGCAACATTGTGTGTCAACAGCATTCAAGTTTTTTTAAAAATGTTAAAAATAAATAAGAGTAAAGGCCCCCACCCCCCAAAAGAAAGTGAAACATGGAAGGAAAATAAAGACTAGAATGAGTTTGTACCTAATAAGAAGCCCCTGAAGTATTGTTTCTAATACGCTCCAACAGAAGATAGGCCCCACATAATTTTGGGAGGCCTGAGGTTGAAGCAGCAGATTCTTTGAGTATTGTTAGTGGTCAGCCTTTCCTAGGAGGTATTTGAATGTGAAATTAAGGAATAATTTTAGAATTTAATATATAAAAGAAATGTCTTGATGGGATAGTATTGATCTAAAATAATGGAGTCCTGGAGACATAACCAAATGTTTCTCAACTGGGAAAAATGTTGATCTGAGTTTTCTTCCTAAAGGTAGTTGTTACAGGAGCATAGTTACTAAGGTTTGGGCCGGGGATAGGAGGAGGGGGCAAGGAACTGGAATAAGTTCCTAGACCTCTTTGTTAAACTTATGAAAGCCTGAACTCTTTCTCCAGAAAAGTGCAAATACATAAACTTTTGGATTCCAGGTTAGGAATCTCTGTGGTAAGAAACAAAGGAATAATTTAAAAATTTATCGAAGAATGAAATATTTAAGAGATATGTTGGAAAATATATTGAAGGGTAATAAATATTTGGGTACTATATTGTTGAATTTGCCTTCCTTCATTCATACTGTGCCCCTGAACCTCTAGTCTCCATTAACAAGGTCTCCCTATACTGTTGTTTGAAGGAACCGAGGACAGACACTGGTTCTGGTGGTGTCATTCTTTGTTTCGGTGAGCCTAAGCAGCCAGAGTAGAAGGGCCTTTGAGCCATTCCCTCACTAATACTCTGGTACCTTTTTATACTATCGATCTCAAAGATGGCCAAACTTATTCTCGCTACTTTGTTACTTGAGATATAGTAGGTGGTGAAGTGCGGTATATACTGAATATATATGTAATAATAGTGTCTTATTTATGCTTTTTCTGGAGATTGCAAATAAAGGAACTGAAGGAGTTAAGACACATAGGCATTTTGTTTTAACCTATCTTAAAATCTCTTTTCCAATTCAATTACAAACGTGTAATTTCCCTAGGGGATGGCATTCCTACTGTTTTTGTGGCAGTGGCAGGCAGAAGCAATGGTTTAGGACCAGTGATGTCTGGTAACACTGCATACCCAGTTATCAGCTGCCCTCCACTCACTCCAGACTGGGGAGCTCAGGATGTGTGGTCTTCTCTTCGACTACCCAGTGGTAAGATACATGAATTTTAAAAAGTTGTTTATTAAAGGGGCACATGGGTGGCTCAGTCAGTTAAACATCTCACTCTTGATTTCGGCTCAAGTGATAATCTCAGGGTTGTGAGATCAAGCTCCATGTTGGGCTCCGTGAAGAGAGCCTGCTTGAGATTCTCTCTCTCTCCCTCTCCTTTTGCCCCTCCCCCCTGCTCGGGCTGGCTTTCTCCAAAAAAAAAAAAATTGTTTATTGAAAAATTTCAAACATGCACAATAGTAGAGAGAATAACATGAAATCTCATGTATCCATTATTCAACTTTAAGATTTAATATCTTATTACATCTGTAGCCCTTTCTGCTGGATTATTTTCAAGCAAACATAGCATTTTATACTTAAATATGCTTCTCTAAACAATAAGAACTCTAGTTTTTATTATTTTATTCTATTTTTTAAGATTTTATTTGTCGAGAGAGAGCGAGCATAAGCAGGGGGAACGGCAGGCAAAGCAGGTAAGAGGGAGAAGCAGGCTCCCCTCTGAGCCGGGAGCCTGATGTGGGGTTTAATCCCAGGACCCTGGGATCATGACCTGAGCTGAAGGCAGATGCTTAACCGACTGAGCCACACAGGCGCCACCATGATTGTGATTTAAAAACTAGAGTTCTGGCATGGCTGGGTGGCTCAGTCGGTTAAGCATCTGCCTTGGGCTCAGGTCATGATCCCGGGGTCCTGGGATCAAGTCCCACATCAGGCTCCCTGCTCAGCGGGAAGCCTGCTTCTCCCTTTCCCTTTGCTGTTCCCCCCACTGAGTTCCCCCCCCGTCACATGTTCTCAAATAAATAAATAAAATCGTTTTTAAAAAAAATCATAGGATACCATAATCACACTTAAGAAAAATTAATGGGTAATTTCTTAAAATCATCTAATTTTCAGTTAGTGTTCAAGCTTTCCTGATCATCTCATTCGTTTTTACAGTTGGTTTGCTCAAATCAAGATCTAACATAGTCCTTATATTGCATTTAATTGCTGTCTCTCCTAAGTCTCCTTTAATCCTTCTTTTTTCACTTTCATTTATCCTATAGAATTGTCGATATTTTGGATTTGGCTGATTATATTTCTGGATGATGTTTAACATGCTCTTCCTATATTTTTTATAAACTGGTGGTGAGATCTGTAGCTAGATCAAATCCAGATTTGGGTTTCCCGCCCCCCAAGAATACATCATTCATGGTTTTGAAGTTTTTT